ATTTCTGTCAGATTCTACCAACATAATTTTTTCAGTTGGATTACGCCGACTTTATTTAGATCTAGGGAGTATAAAACTATGTTAGTTGTTGCTCAAATTCATAACTGAAACCAACACCAATTATAATCACAGAAAGATGAACGGTGGAGGAAAGGTGGTTTGCGTCACCGGAGCTTCCGGTTACATAGCTTCTTGGATAGTCAAGCTTTTGCTCCTCCGTGGCTACACCGTCAGGGCCACCGTTCGATACCCTAGTGCGCTTTCTCTTCTTCTCTGCTTTCTTCCTTAGATAGTTAGCTATTATCTAAATATCAATTTGTTTTTGGTGATTTTATCCCAAAAAAAATGGTGATAGAAAGACAATTCTCTAGTCATCTGAATTTTAAAATTTCCTTTATTTAATAACATTTTCTTCAGAACTAAAATGTCTTGATATTAATCCAAATTTACCATAACAAAAATTACATTTTTCGTGAGAATAAACACATAAGCATGTTTTGTGATCGGAGTATATGTTTAATTCTTTCTCTAGGGGATATAAAGAAAACAAAGCATCTTTTTACACTCGAAGGTGCAGATGAAAGACTAAAGTTGTTCAAAGCAGATCTTTTGGAAGAAGGTTCTTTCCAACAAGCTATAGATGGATGCGATGGTGTCTTCCATACTGCTTCTCCGGTTTCACTCACCGCTACAATTCCTCAGGCTCGTTACTAGCTATGATTTTAATAGTTTTTTGTCAATAACATGCATTCCAGCTACTAGGTTTACATTAATTTTACTATTTATTAATTTTGATGGTTTGCAGGCTGAGCTAATCGAGCCGGCGGTTAAAGGTACTATGAACGTTTTGGAAACGTGTGCGAAATTTTCTTCTGTGAAGAGAGTTATCGTAACATCTTCCACCGCCACAATTCTTGGTTGTAAACCACCGTTTACACCAAATGACGTGGTGGACGAAACCTTCTTCACTGATCCAAATTTCTGCTTGGAGATGAAGGTTCTTGAATTATGTTGTGTGGTAGTAATGAATTCACTATAACTCACATTTACGCTTTTTTTTTGTTCTTTTTCCTTTTTCCGCTCTAGCAATGGTATGCGTTGTCGAAGACTTTGGCTGAGGATGCAGCAGTGCGATTTTCGAAAGAAAATGGGATCGATTTGATCGTAATGAATCCAGGAAATGTGATTGGACCACTTTTGCAGCCAACTCTTAATTACTCCGTTGGAGTGATTGTGGATCTGATAAACGGTAAAACACCTGCCAATAGTTTTTACTACAGGTTCATGGACGTGAGAGATGTTTCACTAGCTCATATCAAAGCGTTCGAGATCCCTTCTGCTAACGGCAGATATATAAATGTTGATCCAACTACAACAATGAAAGACATTAAGAAGCTTTTGCATGTGCTCTTTCCTGATTTGTGTCGTGTTGACAAGTGAGTATCTTATTTTACGTATTTCATTTTTACTTATACTCATATTGAATACATATATAAACCGAAACAAACAAAAAAAACTTTATTGAAATTACATTTTAGGAATGGAGAGAGTGAGATGAATGGAATGGCATACAAAGTGTGTGTGGATAAAATGAAGAGTGAATTGGGAATCAAGTTCACTCCTATAGAAGCAACCCTCAGAGACACTATTGCTAGTCTCAAAAAGAAGTGTCTTCTTATATGATCCTCACCATGCTATGTTTCTTGCAACCTTTTAATTCGGATTTTTGTTTTCTAGGCTTGTATGTCCAAACGCAACTTTTGTTCAACGCGTCATTTTTTTTCTTTAAAATGATTTTGCTGAGTCTCGTTTTAGTTTAAATAAGGGAAATTGGGTTGAATAACCCAAAAAAAAATTATAATCCAAAATCTAACCAATTAACTTAAATCTAATGGATATAAACATGCCACATAGGTTAATTTTTGTTAATTTCCTAATTTTTTTTTTGGTTATTGGGCAAATTAACCTTTTAAATAAAATCATCATCGAGTCATTGTTTTGTAATTTTTTTT